ACATTTACATACCCATCTGCACATTTAATTTTTTTTTTTCCAAGGAAGAAGTTTTCCCTGCAGTATTTAACCGCTCACTATCTATTCTACTCCAGTCGTGGTTATTTTTACTCCAGGGAACAGGTGGTGTGTCTGCTATGTGAAGCCCACAGACACCTAAATGTCAAAAAAGCCAGTGAGATATGACTTTAAGAACAAGCTTACTTTCAAAAACAGGAGTATTTTTCACTAAGTTGGGATGTTAATGTTCAGAAGAGAGTGCCTCAGAGGTATCTTTTTCAGAAGATGCAAACTAAAACTGAAAATACTTCAGGACCACTCTTAAGAAAGAAAAAAAAAGAGAAGAAAGCGAGCAGATGACAGAGACCAGAATGGAAGAAACCACAAGTTCCCTCCCCTCCAGAATAAGAGACTGACTTCTGCTGGGTGCAGATAGGGACACACGAGCCAACACACAACTACAAATATTTAATAGTTGGGTAGCCAGCCATGAGCTGAGGGAATGAATGATCCAATCTTGCCGGTACTCATCCATATGACCACCCAGTGTATTGCCATGGACAGGCTCTGGAGATTTGCAGCCAGCAGCAGCAGGTTCCCAGCTGGTGGCCTCCTCTCTGTGTAAACCAGAGCCTCACCCCACTGCAGGGCACCTGCACAAATCCTGCTGATGCACTGGCCGGGTGGGTGCCGCCTTACTGCCTCCTACTCCTCCACGTATGCTAAACAGTTTCTTTGCTAGCAACACCTGTCATCAGATCAGGATTTCACCCTGCTGTCTTGTACTTAAAAGGTATCTATCTTACTGTTAATTAAAAGAAAGTGAAATTTGCCCAAGAAAGGCAAATGATTTTATTGGAAATGTTTCTGATTTTCTGCCTCTTTATTACAGAAAGAGACTGGTATCCCTTTGCATCCTTTGCTAGCATAAAACTATCAATTAGTATTTAACCTTGTAAATGTAAGCAGTAAAAAGATCTTGATATTCAGCCAACAGACTTTAAAGATAACAAAATTAATTTCAACTATCTGGAGAGAAAAAAACACCACCAACAACCAACCAAGTCAATTTCTCTAGGCTAATTTTAATCTGATATTTAACTATGAAAATATCAATAGATTTGGAAATGAGGAAAAAAAAAACCCCAAACCTCAATTCCAGATGAAAAACAAGGCAGAAAAAACTAAGTTTAACTTCTTTCTCTGTGAAAAAAGAAGCAAATGCAAGAAGACTAGAAAAATTCTTAATACCAAAAGTACTTTACAGCAGCTACCAATAAAACTGACATAGTGGGAGGAAGTTTAAACAAAAGATTGCAAAGCAAAGATTGTGTTAACATTCATTTTACAGCAAGAACTTAGAAATCATTTATAAAATTGAGACAAGATGTTTCTATAGAAACAAGCAACAACATAAGAAAAGCAACAGTGCCGGAATCCCTTTAGTCAGGTTTTACAGCAACTCAATTTTAGAATCAACAGTTGCTGGAACAGACTCTGAAATACCAGGAGAAGTTTTGTGTTGAAGAGGTTTTTCCAGATACTTTAAACTTCAAAAAGAACAGAGGCTTTCCTTGATAAACACATAAAATATCCCCTAATTTTGGGAGTAAATTCCCTACTAATACAGCACCAGATGAGAAAGTGTGAAAGACAGGAACCTGGCACAGGAGGGTCCATGAGAAGAAACCTGCCTGCCCACATGTCTCTCTCTGCCTCTCTCCCCCACTTTAGGATGCTGTTTACACTCTTTCTTATGCTCTTGCTACTGTCCCTGTAACTTGATCCCATCCTTACTGCAATTATACATAAAGACTACATTAAATGCAATATCTAATCCATCTTTTCATTATGCCTGCAATATTTAATTTCCACTGGATTTCATTTATCAGGGTCCCCCACTATAACTGGTCAGCTTGACTCAGCACAAAGGTTTGCAATCCCCATACATTCACTGTGGTCTCAAATGCACTGGCTTGCTGAAACGCAACAACTGTTAATTTTGTCTTTTTTAAAGAGATGATATTTCTCTTCGCTTCCATCTCCAGAATACTTTTTTCTTTAAGAAAATGGGATCTTCCCATCATTCAAACAGAGCATATTATCCTATCTATTGTAGGTACTACATGTATGTTTGAAGTGTTGGGTTTTTTTTTCTTCAAATGCTGTCAAGCCCCAGAAAACTTAATGCTTTTAAGAAAGTTATTATCTATTATTTTATAATTATGAACCTCTGCAACAGAGTTAATTTATTTGTAGAGCCCGAGCAAATTTGGGATTAAGTCCTCCTCAACAAGTATGGCTACTAAGCTGGATTTACTTTCGGAAACAAATTCCAACAACTGTGAGCAGGGAGAAACCTACAATTTTCAGATTATCTTAGTGTGGAATAAATTAGAAATAGGTTTCCAGTCTTAGGCATTACAAGTTGCACATATACAAGTGTACTTTAAAACATTCTTGGTCATTTCTGACTTATGAGTGAAATTATACCATTCTGGGCAACACAGCACACAACCACCTAAAAGTCTAATGAAGATTTTACACAAGGCATACCACAAGTCTGTTGATATTATTCTCTAGTTCTGTTTCTGCTCATCCTCCCTATTCTGGAGAAATACTAGAGATACTGTAAAGTTATTCAAAAAGTTCAGGGCTTGAACTTAGTTAAGACACCCATACGTCCTCAACAAAATTCTCAATTCTCAAAGCCCTTTTGTAACAGCACCTCTAAATCTGAAGCCATCTATTAAAAGATAAAATACTCCACTTACAGCTATAAAACACTGTTCAAAATAATAATAAAACATCCCAAAGGCTTACAAACTCAGGTTAATGAAAAGATGATAGTCTATGCTAATAAATCTACTTGCAAATACATGTAACACATATTAACTGTGCACTTAAACATTTTCTAGAAGACTTGGTTTTACACTTGTACAGCACTGTGGCTTCTGCATATCCTAAACTAGTGTGCACTGGAGATCCTGGCCTCACTGAAGCAACTGGGAATTTTGTTATTGCCTTCAACTTTGAAACCTGATTCTTGCCCAGACAGGGAACTGCCCACAGATCTCAGTACAGAAGGCAACCACAGATCTCCAGCTGTCAGAACTCCACTGTGACACACAGCTTGGCTTCAAAGTCCCTACAGACAGACAGGGTGCTGTGCATCCTGCTACCACCACCCCATGTCCTGCTGTAGGGCATGTGCAGGATGCAGGTGATGCGAAAGCAGGACTTCTGCATCAGCTTTTATTAAACACACACTCACGCTTTTCTATTCCTATTGAATAGTTTAATTTATAGGTGGTGATGAGATTTAGAATGCAGTAATGTGACAGAGGCTAACCTATTTTAGGAAGTGGGTTAGAGAAGGAGGTTTGAGGTCTTTATCTCTAGCGATGTTGAAAATACAGGACAATTTATGTGTCTGACTAATAACTATCAAAAGTTAGGAAAAAAATGTGACCTTCAGGGGCAAAGCAGCAACCTACTCTCACAGCTTCAGGAGCAGCTGAATCTTTGGGTGCCTTCACTTACTACTTCTGAACCCCAGCACAGCAATACAAGAGACGTAGAAGAAACTACCCAGGTGCTGCAGTGCTTTGAAGACTAAAATAGGTGTAATTGCCTTTGCATGCAAACCTACAAAGGATAAAAATCAAATTATCATCCAGTTCAGCTTTCAAATCTAATCACAGAAGTAGGTAATTCTACAGTCTGTTGCAATAATGAATTTCAAAGGCTATGGATAACGCTTAGTTACATACCCTTCTATTCTTTCAAAAATGTACCTGTCAGTAATTTCATTAAACATGACTGCGTTGACAATAACAAGCTTCAATAAAAAATTGAAGTCAGAGGTTTTGACATTAAATAGATTTATTTCCTACAGAATACTCTTTCTTAAAAAAAAAATAAAAATTAAAGGTTGTACTCATTATTACTTAGGTCCTGCTTGTCAGGAAGGTATTCTTTTAGTTTTATGTTACAAGATATGATCTTACACAAACTGTGTTTATTTTGCAGGAAATGGGAAAAATCAAATCACACCCAGGTATGAAGCCCAGATCCTCACCTGAAAGTCCTTCTCAAAAAAGGCCACAGGATTTTCTCTCATGCATGCTTTACTTCACACCAGATGAGAGAAATAAGAATTTATACCTATGCCAAAGGGGATTTTGACTCCTTTCTTTTGCATCGCACATATGAATAAAGTGGCGCATGCATCTATAGTTCAGGAGAGAACATGGAAGAGGAAAACACAGGCTGAGGACCAGAGTCTGTGTTAGCAGTGCAAATACCCTCAGCAAACACAGCGACAGCGCTGGGCCTTCACGAGAGACTCCAATAAGGACCTAGCCTGGAAACAGGATCCCTGCCCATTGGAACAGCAGCGTCAGCAACAATTCCTCCATGAGAGCAAAAAGGGCAGGGGAAGCTAACTGAGAGAAAACTGAACACCCCCATGAAAGCAAAAAATGTACAGAGCGTGACAAGGCTTGGTGACACAGGAGTCCCTCCAAATCAAGCTACAAATTTGTTCTTCTCTTGAACAAGAGAATCTGGGACTTTCTGTCAAAGTTTGCAACAAGTGGAGGTACCACCAACTCCTCGTGTCTTCCCTACACATAAATTTATACTCCTTACTTATCCAATTATTATTATTTAACTGTTATTTTATCCAATATTTAAATTCTCTCTGTATATTAAATATAAGCAGGTGATGATCTTTATTTCTAAATCTAGTTTATTATTTTCCCAGCTGACTCCACCTCAGTATGCAGAAAAACTACTCTGTGCTACAACAGTGAAACATATCCAATAAATAGGAAGGATTTTCCCCTTCTTCCTTGTGGCCTATTTAAAATTTCTGCTATCCTATTGTTACACCCAAACTTGTCAGAAAGTGCCAGGATCACTACCTGAGCCTGAGAAAAGAGGAAAGTGAGTTTGTCAGCCAAGTGTGGCCGTGGCCATCCAAGCAGTAACTTTACCAGTTTCATCTGAAATTGTGTTTAGGCATCATTGGAAGGCAGCTCTTCAGCTTGCACCATCCCCTGAAAACACAACACACCCGTCACTAAGAAGCAGCTGTAAACTGCAGAAAAAAGCTCTTTGGCGAGGAATTGCAACTAGTTTGAGCACAGTTATACATCAGATCATCTGATGCAACTTTTTAACCTCTATTTCCAGGGAGGACAGTAACCAGAACCAGCAAGTATTCCTTACTTGCCTCCTGTGACATCCTGCAAGAGGGCTTATGGACACAGAGAGAGAACTCTGAGCCTCTCTCGGTGCATCTGTCCTTACCCTACATTCAGGCATGTGCTCTGCTCTGCCCCATTTTTCTAAAAGGGGCAAGAAGATGCGCTGACTTATGTAAATGTGGCTAAGTGAATTCTCAAGTACCAGAACCTTTCAGAGTGGCTCGCTTCTAGATGTAATGTCAGGCAAGTACTACCAGACACTTTCCAATACTGAGCTATTTCAGCTGTGACATGGCTCATTTATGGTTAAGTGCAGAGCATCTTATAAGAATTTTCAACAAAAATGATTAACGAAATCAAAACCATTCGGAAATTACTTAGGGATGCGCTCCGGCAGCTCTGTTTTCCCGAGCGCAAGCATGAGTGCTAATACATTTCAGAGCAAATTATTGCATTATAATACTGTACATGAAAGAGGTTGTGTTCTTTTTTCCTTTAAATGAAACATCAGTAAAGGTGCATTAAGAGCATTGCCTTTGTCTAAACACCGGGACGATGCTGTCTGCAAAACAAAAGAGTGCTTGGAAAGGCACTTCACAGCTAACAATAGGGAAACGGCTCCTAAGCAAAAAGCCCGCTTCCATGCCATAAAAATAGAAATCCTGAAGCAGACATAAAATTAAAAAGAGTTGGTGTTTTCCTACAGTCACAACGTATTACGTTTCCTAAGTAATACAGAGACTAAAAGCTTAAAATACTCAAGTGAACGAACACCAGAGCTTGAATTACTGGGGGGAATTCCGGGAATGGCAAGAGCACCCCGGTTATTTCCAGCGAGATACATGTGGATGCCGTGCCGGGACTACCCTCGTACATCTGCTCCCATTTCCAGGAGGACTTAAGCGTCCCGGACGGAAGAACGAGGGTCAGGCGGGCCCTGCACGGGATACTCCAGCAGCACGCGTGGGCAGCCCCACGCAGGTTGCATAAGCCCCGCCGCAATGGAGCGTTACCCGGGAGCGGCTCACACGGGTGGGCTGTACCGGGAATGCCACGGCAGAGGAATCTAAAGGCGCCTCCGCTTTTCTGTTGTTGCCCGGCGGCGGGGGCAGCCCCGGAGCCGCGGCCCGCCCTCCCAGACCCCTCACGGGCGGGCACCCACCTGCTCCTCCGGGCGCCGCCGGTGCCGGGCGGCCGCCGGCCCCGCTTCCCGCTCGCATTCCCCGAGCGGCGGCGGCGGCGGGAGCGGCGCCGCCGAGCCCATGGCTGCTGCTCCGCGCCCAGCGGCACCGAGCGCTGCCCGCGCTCCCGCCTGCCGGGGCGGGACGGGGCCGTCACGGGGTCCGGGGGAGCGGCGGCACGGAGGGAGGAACGGAGGGAGGGCGGCGCCGCGGGAGCGGGGGGAGGCCGCTGGCGGCGGGGATGGGGGCCCGGGGCGGGGAACCTCCTGCTGCCGGCTGCCGGCTCGGGCCGGGCGGCCGCTTGCTGCTCGGTAGAGCGAAAAATAAACCACCCCCAGCACCCGATTTCTGAAGCTTTTGTTAAAAGCAGGAAGTGCCAGGTGTTAATAACGCGTTAATTTTAGCACCGCTCCTCGCTGGTGTGTCCCTGGGGAGGAACGGCTGCCTCCTGTCAGTGTGAGATGTGGCATTTGCTGTTCCTCCCTCGGGAAAGAGGAAACACTGGCCTCGCTCTTTCCGAAGCTGTTTGGATCGTGTCTTCTGTTCTTTAAAAGGAACTAATACGCACCAGGAAGAAGGAAACGCAATAGCAGACCTCGACGATAAGACTTAGTGTATGGACAACGCCGCGGAAGGTTTAGATTGGATTTTAGGGAAAAAAATTCTTCACTGAAAGGGTGGTCAAGCACTGGAACAAGCTGCCCAGGTGAAATCACCGTCCCTGGAGGTATTAAAAGATGTGTAGATGTGGCGCTTGGGAACACGGTTCAGTGGTGAACTTGGCAGAGCTGGGTTAACAGACTCAGTGGTCTTAAAGGTCTTTTCCAAGGGATTCTCCGATTCTGTGTTATGAAGTGCCTCTGCATAGGGTGTGCTTGGCTCCGGCTTTGAGCACTGCTGTCCCTCTGCAGAGGGGCCTCACTCCTGCCAGCCCTGCATGCCTTATCCATGCTGTTCACCCCAGTACAGGAAGGACAGTCTGAAAGTGAAGCTGGATTTCAATGTGCGGCATTCCCAAGCTGTGGTGGGACTACTGTTGTCATCCTTAGGCATCTTTTCTCCACATCCAGTTCATGAACTATTGGTGGCAGGTCTGCTTGGCTCAGTGTTTTTTTTTCCCATAAGCAATTAGTGGAGGTGCTAACAGGTTCTGTAACAATAGGGTTCAGTGGAAATCAGACATCTGGGTTAATGTTATATGGCTTTCTGGTGGCTGGGTGTGGATCCCACTGTCATGTGCAGCAAATTCTACTTGCTGTTTGCTTTTCCTGTTATTATTGTTGTGCAGCAAACAGCAGTAGCTGCAACAACCTAAAACCATTACAAAGAACCACTCAGTGTACGGTGGCAGTCACACCTTCACACTACAAGTGTTCTTAAGTGAGGGGCAGTACACAAGCCACTGTGCTTGCCAGGCCCCTCCGTTTGGCTGCGGGGGCTGAGGGCCAGCACAGGGACAGCTGGGACTGGGCACTGGGGGAAGGGGCCACTGCTCTGCCCACCCTGCTCTACCCTGGCTCCTCATCTGTATGGAGCAGCTGGCCCAATCTCCCCAAGGTGCAGGGTGGCCAAAAGCAGTTTGCCCTGAAGACCCGACTAACTGCTTGACCAGCGTTCTCATCCATGACCCATTTGTTTGCTAGTATTTTTTCTTGGGAACAGGGAGAAGCTTGAAGAAATATCACGCTGTTTAGACAGTTTCCATAAACTATCCTGCCAGTGTGCAAAATTACTGGACACAAAAAAAAAATCCTATGGACTTTGCCAGCGAGTGCTGTGGTGATACATCTCTGTGCACAATATGACTGCTCAGCAGCAGTGTAGTAAAACATCCCTGAGGTTCTCTGCTCTGTGGGCGATTTGTGAAGAAATGAAGTGTCACATATAGTACTGACATTCTGTTAAAGCCCTGTGGAAAAAAAGCCTTAATTTAAGCATAGATTAGGTGTCTATTTCAGTGAGCTTTTTAGTACACTGATGTCCATAAACCTTTGCTGGGTTGTGGATCACAAAAATGTGCATTAGAAATTTTTTAGAAAAATTTTATGCTGAGGATACCACTGTTCTCCACAGCACAGCCTCTGACCCTACTGCCTCCTGGGGACCAGTACCCATCCTGACAGGAGTAGTAAAACATATGTTGGCTGGCTTGGTGCTACTTTTTCTTCCTCAGTTATCTGCATTCACATTGGTTTGATGTTATCTCCTTATAGACAAAGATTCTTCCATTAATTCTGCAGTGAAGGAAAGTTTGTCATATTTCTTAAAAAGCCACACTCCTTCCTACTGCAGCTGGCAGCCTTTGACAGCTTCTTCACATTGAGCAACTCAGTGCAGTGGAACTGCCTCGGGCTCCCTGGCACTCTTCATGTGTGAGAGCACCTCTGGGCTAACAGATCCAGTGCTCAGGGAAAGAACAGGGACTCAAGAAGTCCCCACTGAGATCTCTTAGGATGCATTCACCATTGCAACCTGTGCAACTTCACTAACCTTAAAGAAACCCGTTCCCCTTCATAGCAAACACTCACATGGCAACCTTTAGCTCCTCTTAAGGTGAGCTTTCTGAGGCTTCATGTGCTCTGTGCACTGGTGCCTGGGTCTGTGGATGTAGCTGAGCTGCTGCAAAGTGCTCTGACTGTTTTTCCTTCATCTTACTGAAATTTGGATTTTTTCCTGACATTTGCAAGTGTCTTGTAGCTTCATAAGGATCTAATCGCAAGAACAAGCTGAAGGATATGTCACCAAAAGAGATCCCCACAACTTAGCAACTTTCCTTCCAAGATCACTGATGGAAGTTCCCCACCTCCCAGAGCCCTCTGGACATGGCTGACCTTTTTCTGATAGTGCCTTCTCTCAATAGTGATATTTTCAGAAAATGCAAGGATAAATCTCAGTGTAACTTAAGTGATGGGCAAAAAAACGATGTGCAAAAAAAACCCCTACCCACAACCAAAAAAACAGAGATACAAGCTAAAGGACAGATTCTGCAAAATAATTGTTTTGCATGGGACGACTTCTAGTTGATTTGTAAATACATGTACAGACAAAACAACTCCCAAGGAATAAAGAGAGCTCACTTTGCACAACTCTGTTATTTGAGGGTCACTAAGGAGAGTCAGAACCTCATGCTAAAAATATTTAATTAAAGGGGCTTTGTGAAAAATAGGTGCTTGCAGCTGGAGGAGGACTGAATGCTGCAGCTTTGCTGAGAGGCAGGACAGGTTGAACCCTCTGGCCTTGCTGAAACACTGCTCTAGACTGGAACACACAGACATAGGTGGAATGAGTGGGACTAAACTCCCTCTCTTTGGCTCTGACCAAAGCCAATAGGAGGTGGTGGGGAGAGAGTAACAGATGCTGCAGTGATACTTCTTGAGAGTATTCTTGTGGCTTCCGCTAGTCTGAGGTTCAGGGACTTCCCAGTCCCGGGTGTGGATTTGGGTAATGAGAACAATATTTTAAAGGCAGCAGAGGAAGGCATGCTGGGATCACATGCAGCTGAGTCACACAGAGTGCTTCTTTTGGTCTTGCTGCCCAGGGAAATGTATCCCATTCACCCTCCACTTTTATTTTCATGCCCCTGGCATTCAGTCATGTCTTCCTAGGCTTCTGTCGTGGCTAGGGTAGTGAGCCCCCTCTGTAGAGATTTCAGCTACTCCTACCCTCAGG